GATTTCTCGCTTTCTGTCTCTATGTCTCTCTCTGTCTGTCTGGCGAGCGCACGCGCCCTACAGTGAAAATCTCTCCAAAAAAAAAAGAATTATTTAATTTTAATTATTATTACTATTTTGCTATAGGGTACCCGTATTCAACACAGAAAGATGCCCCAACCACCATGCTACCTGTTGGCCCCATTATGTATTTTTTTTAATTGTCAGAGGGTGTATGAACACGCCCAAGAGAATACAGAAAGCATGCCCCAATAGGACCTGGTGATGCCACAATTATTTTTCCTCCATTTCTCAACCCCTTTAGGATTTTAGATATGCATGCGCATGTGCCTGGCATGATTTTCAAGAGACATGGGCTGAGGGAACCAGCAGTTAGCCTAATGGCTATGTCGCTGGACTCCCACGTAGTCGACCGCGGTTCGTGTCCCGGACCCAGTGGCTTAAAACTCACGCCGGGCACGTGTGCGTGCGTGCCCAAGATCCCGGGAGGAGAATGGAGGAGAAGGGATAGCGGCGTGACCATCCCCCCTGGGGGGTGATTTCTCGCTTTCTGTCTCTATGTCTCTCTCTGTCTGTCTGGCGAGTGCACGTGCCCTACAGTGAAAATCTCTCCAAAAAAAAAAAAAAATGCCTACCACTCCCCCAGCCTCCTTGGGGGAAGACTTCCCAGTGGGAATGCGGGAAAGGGGGGCACTGGTGGAGGTCACTTCCCCCAGGTTACAGTGGGCTCTACCCTCACTGCTCCAGCCCCAGACCAGGAAGGGGTATCCAATGCCCAAGGGCAACAACTTCTGGGCTAGCCCTCAGCTAGGTTAGGCCCAAAGCCTAGCAGGGGCAGTTAGCTGGACCATCGGGCATTTCCCCAAGACTTCAAACTAGAACCACGGAGGGCCGAGTCATGGGAGAAGACAGACACAGAAGCAGCAGGGACACAGAGGTCAGAAGTCACATCAATGGGAAATGACAGAGCAAGGCATCGGAAGACTGCCGCCAGGGTGGATCTAAAGAAACTAGTTTCCAAGTCTTTTCCCAGCACGACTTGGTTATGCAGCTTCTCCCTGCATCCATGAGGCCCGAATGTGGAAGAGTCCTAACTTCCTTATCTCAACACGTCTTTAGAATACACCACCCATTACTTAAACCAAGACAGACATCTCTTCTTTAAGCGAAGACCCCATGAAAACTAGTCTTCCCCTTTAGATGTTTGTCCTTGGTGTCATATGAAGACTGCTCTAGCCTCAATATTTAATTCTCAAGGATAACAACAAGGTACAGATATTTTATATGGTTGGGTAGGATTAATTATTTTTTTTGGAGAGGTTTTTGCTATAGGGCACGTGTGCTCGCCAGAAAGCGAGAAATCACCCCCCAGGGGGGATGGCCATGTGGCAATCCCTTCTCCTCTGTTCTCCTCTTGGGATCTTGGGCACACACGCACACGCGCCCGGCGTGAGTTTAAGCCACTGGGTCCGGGACACAAACTGTGGTCGACTACGTGGGAGTCCAGTGACATAGCCATTATGCTAACTGCTGGTCCCGGTAGGATTAATTCTTAAGGCCACGCTAATTAAAATGGATTTAAAGCTGCACAAATCTTTAACACCTCCTTTTTATCTGCATTACGATTACTTCACTTTAAAACAAATCTCAGATACAATGCAGTAATTCTATACCTAAACCTTATATTAATCTGTATCACACTATATGAGGTATTAAGATCTCAGATGGGGCCAGCAGATGGCGTGGTGGCTAAGGGCGCTGGATTACCACATGACCAACAGCGGTTTGAGTCCCTGGACATGGCGGCTTGCTTTCTTACTTTCCCTTTCTCTCTTGCTCTGTCCCTCTCTGGTCAAATTAAAAATGAAGTTAAATAAAATAATTCTTTTAAAAAAGTATTTATTAATTTCATTTGTTATTACTATTTTTTTAGTTTAACCAGAGAGAGACAGAAAGGGAAAGTGAGAAAGCAAGCCACCAGGTCCAGGACTCAAACCACAATTGGCCATGTGGGAGTCCAGCACCTTAGCCATGACTCCACCTGCAGGCCCCCAAATAAAATAATTCTTTAAAAAAAAAAGAAGATCCTGGAACTGGCAGGTGGCGTGGTGGTTAAGGACACTGGCCTCCCACATGGCCGACTGTGGTTCGAGTTTTGGATCTGATGGTTCACTCTCTCACCTTCTCTCTCTCTCTCTCACTCTGTCCCTCTCTGGTTGAATTTAAATAAACAAACAAAGTTAAATAAAATAATTCTTAAAAAAAAGATTTTTATGGGACCAGCAGTTGGCCCAACGGCTATGTTGCTAGACTCCCATGTAGCCGATTGCAGTTCAAGTCCCAGACCCAGTCGCTTAAACTCAAGCTGGACACATGTGCATGCGTGCCCAAGATCCCAAGAGGAGAATGGAGAAGGGATTGTGGTGTGGCCATCCCCTCTGGCGGGTGATTTCTCGCTGTGTCTCACCAGGAGCATGTGCGTATGTGCGTGCCCAAGATCCCGAGAGGAGAATGGAGGAGAAGGGATTGTGGCGTGGCCATCCCCCCAGGGTGATTTCTCGCTTTCTGGCCAGCGCATGTGCCCTATAGCAAAAACGTCTCCAAAAAAAAAAAAAGAAGAAGAAAAGAAAAAGAAAACCCAATATCTATCTAGCTTTCAAATTAATAAATAAATCTTTACAAAAGACCACTTAAAGAAGGCTTAAGATAGTCATTTATACTGAATGAAATAGTATATAAAGCAAATATGCTCCGTGAAATCAATTTCTTACTCTTCCTTTGATTAGACTGTAAATATTGGGGCTGGCAGGTGGCATAATGGCTAAGGCACTGGACTCCCACGTGGTCGACCACAGTTCAAGTTCCAAACCTGGCAGCTTGCTTTCTCACTCTACCTCTCTCTCTCTAGTCAAATTAAAAAGTAATAACAAATTCAATGAAATAAGTATCTACACACCTACACATAGATACACACACCTAATATATATCCTTAATATGTAATAGGTGTTTATTTAAGTAGATCCCTAAGTAGACATATATAAACTCAATGAGCAGTATTTAGCCTGCACTTTACAACAAGTTTCTTTTGGAAGCAATAAACTTAGAGAAAATGGCAGCAGCACATTTGGACTAAAAATGATACACGAAGGTTAAGGACACAGGGTTCTGGAAGAAGCCAGTGTTCCAAGTCCCAATCTCAGACTTGCTTCCAAAGGCAGGTTCTGGATGTTATGCCAATTTGCTTTAAAAAAAAAAAAAAAAGAAAGAAAGAAAGAAAAAAGAAAGCCCAAGAGTAACACAAACCAAGACAAGGCCATAATGCAGTGAGTAGCTCTCAAATATACTGTTTTCCTCCCCTCCGCCTCCTTCCCCAACTTACTTTGCAAAGCGTGGAACACAGCCTGATGATGAGTCATGACCTAGCTTCCCATCTTTTGCCAAGAGGCAGATAAAATAACTGCCACCCCAAAATAAAGAGGGAAGCAGAGACTCAGTTCTGTCCCACAAGGTCTCCACGAAACTAATCACATTAGCTAACATTTGTTTAGGAATGAAATGCTTTCACAGATGTGTTCATAAAGTTTTCTATTAAAATAATGAGTCAACAGACAAGGGAAAAGAGGACTACTCTCATAAAATTCAAAACTAAAATCCAAACCAGCTGCATCTTCACTTTCAATTTCCAGAGCTTACAGTTTCAATTTTCCAGGAAAAAATAGTACGGGGCGGTTTCCAACTGCTATCAAGTTATTGGAGGAAGAGCTCAGTTATCTGATTCATGAAACCTCTAACATGTAAAACAAAATACAAAGGGATACGGAACTGACATCTATTGAGTTGTCAAAAAAGTTATGACATTTCCCCCCCCCCTTTTTTTAAGAGGTTTTTGTTATAGGGCACATGCGCTCGCCAGAAAGACAGAGACAGAGAGAGAGAGACAGAAAGCGAGAAATCACCTCCCAGGGAGGATGGCCATACCGCAATCCCTTCTCCTCCATTCTCTTCTCAGGATCTTGGGCATGCACGCACACGCACCCAGCATGAGTTTTAAGCCACTGGGGTCCAGGATGCGACCCGTGGTTGACTACGTGGGAGTCCAGCAACATAGCCATTACGCTAATTGCCATTACTCTAATTGCTGGTCCCAAGATACGACATTTTTAAATGAAAAAAAAAAAAAAAAAAAAAAAGCAGAAATATGTCACGACTTTCCCAATGACCTAATATTAAAACTGGGAATTTCGCTGAGACTTTTACATACGTTACTGTCACCTTGGGGTTATTACAGTAATCCTGTTACACAGAAGGGGAAACCGAGTACAGTAGAAACAAGACACAAATGCAAACTTCTGCTTCCAAAGTCCATCTCTCCCTGTACCGAGGCTACAGTCCTGACCATGAAGTATACATTCCTGACACCCCTCACGCACACACAAATAATATGCAGATTCTTTTTTTCTTTTTTAAGGTTTTTACTCTAGAGCATGTTGAGTTCACCAGAGAGATAGAAGGGAAAGTGGAAACACCCCACAGAGGGGGTTGGTCACACAATCCTTTCTCCTCCGTTCTCCTCTTAGGATTTTGGGCATGCATGCACCTCCTCCTGGTGTGATTTTTCAGGCCACCGGGTCTGTGACTCGAACTGCAGAGTAAGGCATGTGGGGTCCAGTGCTTTAATCACCATGCCACCTGCTGGCCTACAGACTCATTTTAAGAGATGTAGTTGGGCAGCAGGTAGCTGGAGGGTAAGGCTCTGGATACCACATGGCCAGGTGCTTGGTTAGAGTCCCAGACCCCATGGCTTGAAAATCACAAGCCAGGTGATTTTCAAGCTTGGGATCAGCAGATGGCATAGTAGTTAAGGTACTGGACTCCCATGTGGCCAACAGTGATTCAAGTCCCAGACCCAGTGGCTTGAAAATCATGCTGGGCAGGTGTGCATACATGCCCAAGATCCCAGGAGAAAGGAGAAGGGATATGCAATGTGGCCATCCCCTCTAGGGAGTGATTTCTCACTTTTCCACTCACTGTCTCTATCTCTCTCTCTGGTGAGTGCACATGCCCTATGGCAAAAATCTATTTAAAAACAAAAAAAGAGTCTGACATCAGAAAACACCAGGTGCTAACATTTGAATGTGTTCCCCCAAATTCACATGTTGAAAACTTCAACTCTGGGGTTGAACAAGGGGCCTTAGAGAAGTGATTCCAATTAGATAAAGCCATCAGGGTGGGGCCCCCCTAAAATTGAATCCTAGTAGGTTTATGAAGAAAAGGAATTAAGCCAGACAGAGACACAGACACTCCTGTTCTGCTCTAGCTCTCTCTTGCCATGTAATGTCCTACATCTGGGGACTGCAGAGCCCTCACCAGCAAGAGGACCCACACCAGCTCCTTGTAAACTTTGAGCTAAACAAGCCTCCCTTCTTTTCTTCTTTCTCATAGGGCAGATGCATTCTCCAGAGGCAGACAGAGCAAGCACTCCCCTTCCAAACCCCCACCCTCCCACCCCACCTCTTCTGAGGATTTTAGGCACACAGGCACAAGTGCCCAGCAGCGTGTATTTCAGGCCTGGGGGATCAGGAACTCTAACTGTGCAGTTGACCATGTAGGATCCAGCCATCTTAACCACCACCAACTGCTGACTTCACCTTTATTCTTTATAAGTCACTCGGAACCAATGATGTGTTACTAGCAACACAAGGAACTAAAACATCAGGAAAAACCAATGATGTCTATAAGGGAATACTGAGAGCTTTCCCTTTTTCTCCTTCAGGGGTATTTTTTCCCCCAACTTGTGTGTGTCTGTGTGTGTGTGTGTGTGTGTGTTAGAATACACATAAATTTTACCATCTTAACCATTTTTCAGTATACAGCTCAGGTAATATTAAATATTCATAATATTGTGTAACCATCTCCAGAACTCTTTCATCTAGTAAAACTGAAACTATTTCATGTAACTAGGTCCCCATATCTCCCTCCTTCCCCTTCCCCCACATCCTGGCAATCTCCTGGGTACTTATCACCTCAATTTACCCAGTCAGGCACGGATCAGTTCCCGCAGGCAAAGACCTGATAATGGTATTCATTCTCCAGGCGGGTAAGAGGTAGCGTGAAGAGCAGCGCGAGCCACTCCCACCTCCGGGGGGAGGAGGGAAATGCGGGTACCCCTCGAGCAAGCCGGCTGGGGATTTCATCAGACTGCACCAACCCTCACTGCCGCTAGGGTCCCGAGAAGGGACGGCTCGCTACTGAGGCTGCTGCTCCTTCCGAGTCCTTCCCAGAGCTTGCCGAAGGCTCTCCCCTGTTTTTCCTGCAACTCAGCATCACAGCTGGGGCGGCGGCAAGTTATGGCCGGTAACCCTGCTGTACTTTCGCACGTAAATCCGGGAGTCCCAGCCACCACCTGCACCTTCGCTCCGCACCGCCGACCCGCCCGAGACGGGAGACGCCGGAGCCCGCAGAAGTCCGGCCCCCTCTGATAGGTGGACTCCCTGCATCGGCTCACTCCGCAGAGCTAGCGCCCTGGCTGCTGGTTGCTGGCTGCTGGCTGCTGCCGCGCTCCGTGCCACGTCGTCCCACCACGCCCCTCTCGGCAGCTACCACTGCAGGACCAAGATGCTCAGGATGTTCCTCTGCGCCCACGGAAGCCCTCCGCCGGCGATCCGCCCCCCATCCCTGGCTCTCTGCGCAGACTCTGCTCTACGACCCACTTACCGAGGTGCGGTGAGATGGAAGGGACGGCGGCCAAAGTGGCTGCTTTGCGCGGGCCGGAGCAGCCGGGAGGCCAACGCGGACAGCAACGAACTCGCAGCCATGGTCCCTGCCGGTGCCCGAGTGAGGAGAGAAGCGCGCGCGCGGGCCGCGCGGTTATACCGCAGCCGCATGTCAGGCCCCGCCTCCTGCTGGCACCCATTGGCCCCTTGTACACTCCGCTGGAGGTCCGTTGGACCTGCTGGAGCTGGGGAAGCCAATCGGTTGTCTTTATTAAACGTAAGCGAAGTTCTGCAGAGCCCTGCCTATGATTGGAGCAAGACGAGACAGGAGCCAGGCCCTGGAAGGCTGGCAAGCCTCGTTAGCGTGACGTGATTGGCTGAGGAAGTCAAGCCCCTGCCGGACGCAGTTGGAGTCGCCAAAGTCCGGACCACGTTAGCCGGAGTTCGTTCATTCATTCGTTGAACCAATATTTGAGCACCTACTGGGTGCTGGTATCGGTGGGTAAAAATGACAGGCACTTAGCATACCAACGGATACATGTAGGCAGAATAATGGGGTTAGAACATCACCATTTGGCATCTCATAGTTAAAATTGATTCAGAATCGTCAATTGATGTCAATACAAGTGGGTGAAAGTTGGATGAGGAACGTATTTACATACGGGGTTGCCAGATCTAGCAAATAAAAAAACACAAGACGCCCAATTAAATTAAAATTTTAGATAAATAATTTTGGAAGGCTGTATTAAAAAAAAAAAAGTGTTGCACATTAGCAAGTCAAATTCAACTGGAGTTTCCTGCATTTTAGCTGGAAGCCATTTTGAGTGATCTCCCCTCAAAAATACTTAAAAATAAGGGCCGGCAGGTCGTGTGGTAGTTAAGGGTGACGGACTCACACATGGCTGACCATGGTTCAAGTCCCAGACCTGGTAGCTTGCTTTCTCACTTTCTCTTTCTCTCTCTCACTCTGTCTCTCTCTGGTCAAGTTAAAATAAGTAAATAAAAAAATAATAATAAAGTTATTTTTTAAAAAAAAACTTAAAAATAAGAAAGAAAGAAAATGATAACTATATAGTGGAAGAACCTGACTGCTATCCCTCAACCAAGTGATCAATTATAGCACCCAGTAATGGAACAAACACGTATGTGCCTTCTGACATGATACATGAGAACACAGCACTTCATAACTTTTAATAAGTCTAAAAACTTAAGCAAGTGATTTTTCTAAACCAATGAGTCTTCTACAAATGGCTGCCAATTAATTCTTTCCAAGTTGAAAAGAGATCACAGATCGGGCAAGTTAAAACTGTCTAGGAGAAAACTACATTATAAGATTTTGTGTTATGGGACCAGCAGTTAGCGTAATGGCTATGTCACTGGACTCCCATGTAGTCGACCGCAGTTCGCATCCCAGACCCAGTGGCTTAAAACACACCAGGCGCGTGTGCGTGCGTGCGTGCCCAAGACCCCGAGAGGAGAATGGAGGAGAAGGGATTGCGGCATGGCCATCCCCCTTGGGGGGAGTGATTTCTTGCTTTCTGTCTCTCTGTCTCTCTCTGTCTGGTGAGCGCACGCACCCTATAGCAAAAACCTCTCAAAAAAAAAAAAAAAAAAGATGTTGTGAAGTCGCAGTTCTGGCAGAATCCTTGTGACAGTTCTCCACTCTCAGAACACAATAATTCTTCCTTTTGGCCGGAACTGCCATCTTCCAGTAATTAACCAAAATGACGAACACAAAGGGAAA